GTGGCTCAGTGGTAGAGCACTTGCCTTGCATGCCTGAGGCCCTGGGTTCGATTCCTCAGCACCATATAAGCAAAAAGAAAAAAGCCGGAAGTGGCGCTGTGGTTCAAGTGGTAAAGAGCTAGCCTTGAGCTGAAGAGCTGAGGGACAGCGCCCAGGCCCAGAGTTCAGGCCCCATGACCGGACCCACCCCCCAAAAAATAATAAAAATAAGCATATATTAAAAAAAAGTTTCAAGGACTTTCCTACCCAGGCTGGCTTTGAACCGTGATCCTCAGATCTCAGCCTCCTGAGTAGCTAGGATTACAGGCGTGAGCCACCAGTGCCCAGTTTCAGGCAAGTTTTAAATCCTCAGCTGCTTTCTCCCAGGAACAGTGGAAGAGCAGAAGGGCTTTTGATAAAGTCTTTTGGAATCATGACCCTATGATAGAAACCACATTTTTGTTTTCTGTGGAATCCCAGCTGGAGGGTATTCTTGCCATTAAATCTGAAAAGAAATCAGCCATAATTGGGAGGGGGAATAATAGAAAATCAGTTATCAGCAGGAAGGAACAGAGAATAACACGTTGGTCAGACAAGGAGAAAAAGGCAGCAGGTGCTTAAGGACATATCTTGTCTGTCTTGCCTATCTATCATTTCTACAAAGAAGGCATCAGCAGAGGGAAAGATAATTCTGCAAATGCAACAGACTTCTTGACTTGCTGTTCCTGAGAAGTAATCCTAAATCTTTTGGATGCTCACTCCTTGCTAGCAATCAGCTTTGTCAAAATTTAATAGGTATGGTTTGGCAGCAAACCTTTCTAGAAGTTGAGAGTTACGATTCTGCTAAGTGGATTGCTTTTACTTTTTTTCACTGTGATTCATCTGCTTTTTATGGCACAGAATACTTCCACCAACCAAGTAAAATCATGCTTTTGTAGACATGGTGCCTTAGATGAAACACTTGATGATCCACTTCCTTCATATTCTCACTTCTAGGGTGAGAGGAAGGTAAAGTAGACAGGTAGCTCACCTTTTGAGGAATATCTTGAAAGTGAAAGCAGTTCCAAAATATCAGGCTCTGCATAGCAGATCAAAGCTGAATGTAGGGAATCAATTCACCTTCTCATTCTGCCATCTGTACCTATACTACATCCCCCAACCCACCTGCTCTTGCTGCCCATGCAGTAGGCACAGGCAATAAATTCATTATTCAGTAGATGTCTACCAGTGGTATCATTTTAGTCCTAGTGTATGCTGGCTCAGCTTTGGTTTTCTTGTCTTATCCAAGATCTCTTTTCCTTTAAAATTCTAGGTTCCCACATAAATCCTTGGTACTATAAAAAGTGACTGGAAGTGCATATACACTTCCTTCTAGTTGTTGGTTCTTAGAGACTGGGAAGTGCAGAGACACAATGGAGGAAACCGTGCAGAGCTTGAAAGAACTTAGGTTGAGTCATAAATGCTTCAGGATCTTACATGTCACCCAGCCTCAGCTTTTCCCTCTGTATAATAGATAGGGTGATACTCTCTCATCCACAGGATTTTTGAATATTCTCCTCTGAACTCTTAGGTGTTTTCAAGCTTCTATCCTTGGCCTTCTGACTTCCTCTTTTGCCATTCATTTCTTTGTCTACACGGATGTATTTCAACACTCTATCAGTTCAGATTTTATGCTTTATTTCCTTTACATAATTTTATCCCCTCCTTTATTTCTTCCATTTTCATGCATTTAACTGCCATATCTATGCAAATGGATCCCATCTCTGTAGTCTGGAGGACTATTTTCAATTAAATAAAAATGTCTCGTTACCACCACCCATAAAGCCACTGTGACACAAGTCTAGCTTGTTGCTGTTCTTCTCAGTTCTTGTGTCTCCAAACTCCATTTCATTCCTGCATATCAGTACATAAGTAATCTTCCTAAAATTAATCTTTTGGTGTGTAAACATTATCTCAAGAGCATAATTTTAATAGTTATTTTCTACTATATTAAGTCTACAAAGCCCTCTATCATCTGGGCATATTTTTACCTCTCACAAGCTCACAAGCTGTGCTTCAGAATGGATAGCTTGCTTAGTTCTCTTTCAGCATTCATATTGTACCTCTTGTACAATATGCTATTTCTTTCTTTTGTATTCATTTACTTAATTGTTATTATAGAGGTGATGTACAGAGGGACTACAATTACATGAGTCAGGTAATGAGTACAACGGTGTCTTCCCTTCCCTCACTCTGTTCCAGTTCCTCCCTCCTGTCTCCACTCACGAGTTGTATAGTATACTTTCATCAGTGTCCAGTGAGCTCCACTGGACACTTTCCCCTTGAATTCTGTACCTTTCCCCTCAACCCTCCCAAAGATATACACTTGAATACACCATACATAGGTAAAGAAGACAGAATCATCAAACACTAAAAAGAGAGAGAGGGGAGGGGGAAGGAGAGAGATCACTCACACACAGTAAGGCCAAAAGAAGATATTCTTAGGAGAGAAACACAAAGGTACAATTCCTAAGTGCCTCTTCATATGTATATAAAATAGTATACATATTAGATACTATTTATTTTCTTCTAGAACCTATACTGATGCTACTCAATAGCATCTGGCTTAAGTCCTGACTCTTCCTCACAACTCTCCCTAGTGTGATATTTAACTCTCCCCTCTTTTATTCAAATACTCAGTGTTAGGGTTAGGATATCCATTTACTATGGGTATCACATAGTGCTCAGCACCAGGTTAATCCTCTATCAGATATAACAATGTGTTAGAATTCTGTACTCTTCCCATTTCCCCCTACAAATGTGATTTTCTTAAGGATAGAGGACTTTGATTTATCTTTATATACCTCCACAATGCTGTGTTTGAAGTATTCTTGCAGAAAGTTTTGTCTGATTTGAACTCACTGATTG